TGGGGGGTGCAGGGAGGTGTCCGTGCACCCCTCGAGGGTCTCACCCAGGCTGAAGTACAGGCTGATAGTACAGCTATTTCAGCTCGCTGCAACCTCCACCTCCTGGGTTCAAGCGGTCCTCTGGCCTCAGCCTTCTGAATAGCTGGGACCACAGGCATGCACCACATCTGGATAATTTTTGTACTTTTTTATAAAGACAAGGTTTTACCATGTTGCCCAAGCTGGTCTTGAATTCCTGAGCTCGAGGAATCTGCCCACCTCAGCCTCCCAAAGTGCTGGGATTACAGGCATGAACCACTGTGCCCAGCCCCATTCTTTTTCAAATATCTTTTTTTTTTTTTTTCCAGAAGAGAATCTTCTGGGGCACTAGGTATGAAAAAAGAGAGAGAGAGAGAAAATCTAATACTACTCCTAATTTCACCTATCTAGCCGATAGGCCTTGTAATCTGTATAGGTTTCTTAAAGCATGTATACAGAGTAGCATAACTGTTGGTCACGCAAGTACTCATTTGTACATACACACAACACACACACAAAACACACATATATACACACAGTGCTCAGGCGTGGTTGGCCAGAGTGCTCAGGTGTGGTTAAACCTTGTCCCTCCCTTTTTTTTTTAAAAATTTTATTTTATTTTATTATTTATTTTATTTTTATTTTTATTTTTTTTGAGACGGAGTCTCGCTCTGTTGCCCAGGCTGGAGTGCAGTGGCCGGATCTCGGCTCACTGCAAGCTCCACCTCCTGGATTCACGCCATTCTCCTGCCTCAGCCTCCCGAGTAGCTGGGACTACAGGCGCCCGCCACCACGCCCTGCTAGTTTTTTGTATTTTTAGTAGAGACGGGGTTTCGCCATGTTGGTCAGGCTGGTCTCAAACTCCTGACCTCAGGTGACCTGCCAGCCTCAGCCTCCCAAAGTGCTGGGATTAACAGACCTGAGCCACCCGCGCCGGCCCTTCTTTTTTTTTTTTTTCTTTGAGACAAGGTCCTGCTTTGTTGCCAGCGCCCTGGAGTACAGTCGGCCTGATCTTGCTTTCGCACTCGCTTCTTGGGTTCAGCGTTCTCCCCTGCTCAGCTTCCGAGTAGCTGGGATTCCACAGGTGCTTCCCACCCACCAGCTAATTCTTTGTATTCTTCGCTCGCTACGGGGTTTCGCTATGCTCTCGCGCGCTTCGCAAACTCTCGCTCGCGCGTCTCGCTTCGCGCTCAACAAAGCGCGCTGGGATTACGGCGTGAGCCTCCTGCGGCTGTCCTCCTCTCTACCCTCCTTGCCTCTTTCCAAACTTCCACCCACGCGCGCGGCTAGCGCATTTTATGTTTATTTTATTTCTCTCTTTTTGAGGCGCGCGCTTCTCACCTCTGCCACTCAGCTAGAGCTGCAGTGCGATGACTTGTTCATCCGCACGCCTGTTTCCAGGTTGCAAGTGACTCCGCTCTGCCTCAGCTCCCGGGGACGCCTGGGACTCGGCGCGTGCTACCACCACCACCTCCGGCTAACTTTTTTCGTCATTCTTATCAGCGACTCGGGCTTCTCTCTGCTTGCTTCGCTGCTGTCTCTCGCCTCCAGCTCGGCGGCTCTGCTGCCCTCACGCCTCCAAAGTGCTGGGCACTTCCCGCTCACGCACGCCCAGATTTTTTCGCTCTTTCTTTTAGTAGACGCTCGCGCGCGCTCTTCCACCACTTTTCGGCGTCCGGCTGCGTCTTTGACTCCTGCCCTCGCTTCTGCCCTTGGCTCCAATGTTCTGGGATTACAAGGATGAGCCCCTGCACCTGGCCTCTAGACTAGTTTCTAATTTATGAGTTCACCTCCATCTGTGGGCGGCAAGGAGCCTCTGTAGGCAACACAGGGAGGAAGCAGGTGCAGATCTGGCTGTACCTGCTTGCCTGGCAGTTGGGAAAGCCACCCCTTTTCTGGTTCCTCCCCCATCTTTTCATGACTGTTGCAGCTCACCAGCTGCAGCTAGAGAGTTTCCTCCCTCTGCTAGGACTTGAGGGAGGCTTATGGACCCTCGCTTTGGGAGCTGTGAGCCAGGGCTGTGCCAAGCATCTCATGAGCTCAAGTCCCTGCCACTGCTTGACCTGCTTGGTCTACTGGCATTGTGATTGGGTCAGGCCCAGTGACTCTGAATTGGCTGGAAGACACTCAGCTTTAGTGAGGACTCATTAGAGCCACTCCTTTTGTCTAGCCTGGGCCTGGAGGGACGGATGTGGGCATACCCTGAGTTTAGACAGATAACCCTGGCCCCTTTCAGAGTTTCTCTGTGAGTCCCCTTAGAGCTTTGCTTCAAAGGCTGGGAAGCTGTTCTGTCCCGCCTTGGCGGTCCAGGACTGGGGTGGGGGGTGCAGGGAGGTGTCCGTGCACCCCTCGGGGCTTTCCTTGCCTTAGGGGTCCCCCAGCCAGGCCACAGCAGGCAGAGCTGAGGCCCTACAGTCAGTCCGAGAGGCCTCCCTGCTTTCAGATACAGGGTGGGGTGATGGGCGACCATGGATCCTGAACAGTCCAGAGGCCCCTGTTTCCAAGTTGCAGCTTTTACTTCCCGGAGGCCTCCCTGGCTGCCGGGTGTTTGTGTTGTTCCCATTCCTGTGTACAGGGGCTCCGCCTCCATCTGCAGCCTCCCCTCCTGCCCTGTCTCCAGCATGCCTGGCTGCCCAGGTCAGCGCACAGGCAAGTGAGCGGAATGAGGCCACTGCTGGCTGAACACTGTCTGAGCTTAGGAAAAGAAAAACTGGTACACAGTTCAGTGTCATAAAAGGGAAAGCAGAACATGTCATCTCTGGGCTGCCAACCTGCTGACTCACTAGACTAGGTCAGTGCCCACAGACTGATCAGCACTCGGAGGATGGCAGAGTTTACAGACAAGGAAGCATCATAAATCACACTGTGGGTATGTGCCGCCTCACTCCCTGGTGAGGAAAGCAAAAGAAACAAAACATATCTTGGATGTGTGGTTCCCAGATGTAGCAAAAATAAAGAAACAGAGCCAAGGCAAGCAGCCTGGGCAACATAGCAAGACCCCATCTGTATAAAAAGTGGAAACATTTTTAGCTGGGCATGGTGGGACGTGAGTGTAGTTCCAGCTACTCAGGAGGCTGACACAGGAGGATCGCTTGAACCCAGGAGGTGGAGGTTGCAGTGAGCCAAGATTGCACCACTGCACTCCCGCCTGGGTGACAGAATGATATCCTACCTCAAAAAAAAAAAAAAAAAGGTAAAATTTGCCAGGCATGAGGCATGGTGGCGCATACCTGTAGTCCCAGCTACTCGGAAGACTGAGGCGGGAGGATTGGTTGAGCCTGAGAGGTTGAGGCTGCCGTGAGCCGTTATCATGCCACTATACTCCAGCCTGGGCAACAGAGTGAGACCCTGTCTCAAAAGAAAAAAAAAAAAAAAAAGCCAAGGCAGGGAAGGGAGTCACAGTGATTACAATGATAATAAAAGGGTAGAGATGCGGGACTGTGGACTGGGCCCCTGGCAGGGGCCTGGTGGTGAACATGCTGCCCAACCAGCTGGCATTCCTAAGCACAGACTGACCAGAGCCTTCTCCCTGCAGGAGACAACAACCGGATCCCAGTCATCGGGCCCCTGAAGATCCGGGAGCAGCAGCGGTCAGCTGTCTCCACCAGCTGGCTGCTGCCCTACAGCTACACGTGGTCACCTGAGAAGGTGTTCGTGCAGACGCCCACGACCAACTACACACTGCGGGACTACCGCAGGTTCTTCCAGGACATCGGCTTTGAAGACGGCTGGCTCATGCGGCAGGACACAGAAGGGTTGGTGGAAGCCACGATGCCACCTGGCGTGCAGCTGCACTGCCTCTATGGCACTGGTGTCCCCACACCAGACTCCTTCTACTATGAGAGCTTCCCTGACCGTGACCCTAAAATCTGCTTTGGTGACGGCGATGGTACTGTGAACTTGAAGAGTGCCCTGCAGTGCCAGGCCTGGCAGAGCCTCCAGGAGCACCAAGTGTTGCTACAGGAGCTGCCAGGCAGCGAGCACATCGAGATGCTGGCCAACGCCACCACCCTGGCCTATCTGAAACGTGTGCTCCTTGGGCCCTGACTCCTGTGCCAGGCAGGGCTGGATGGCTCAGCTGTGGACCTGCTCTTGGCCTCTGGTGCTGTCATGGCCCATGAGTTTCACAGAGTTTGTGACTGACTATTCAAGGCCCTGAGTCTTGGACTGTGAAGCATCTGCCGTGGGGAAGTGCTGTTTGTTATCCTTTCTCTGTGGCAGTGGAGAAGGAAGAAATGAGAGTCTGGACTCAGGGACACTGGATGGCAAGAATGCTGCTGATGGTGGAATTGCTGTGGCCTCAGGACTGGCTCCACAGGGTGGGCTGGCTGGGCCCTGGTCCCAATCCCTACCTGGGGCCGTGTGTCCCCCTACTCCTATGGGCTTTTCATACTTGCCTACTGGGCCCTGGCCCCGCTGCCTTCCTATGAGGCATGTTACTGTGCTGTGGTCCTGTACCCAGAGGTCCCAGGGATGGGCTCCTGGCCCCTCGGGTGACCCTTCCCACACACCCGCCACAGGTAGGCCTGCCAGTGGCCATGGGTAGCTAGAGCTGCTGGCTTCCCTGTGGCTTAGCTGGTGGCCAGCCTCACTGGCTTCCTGGGTGAGCCCAGTAGCCCCTGCAGGCAGGGGCAGTTTGTTGCATTCTTCATGGTTCCCAGGCCCTGGGACATTTCACTCTACTCCTACCTCCCTTACCGCCAGAAGCAGTCAAGCTCTGGATTGGGCAGCAGATGTGCCCCCAGTCCTGAAGGCTGTGTCCCAGGAGCTCTGATTTCCTCGGATGTGCTGTTGGCCCCAGGACTGAAGCTGCCTCCCTTCACCCTGGGACTGTGGTTCCAAGGATGAGAGCAGGGGTTGGAGCCACGGCCTTCTAGGGACCTGTGGAGAAAGGGAATCCAAAGAAGCAGCCAAGGCTGCTCGCAGCTTCCCTGAGCTGTACCTCTTGCTAACCCCACCACCACACTGCCACCCTGCCCTAGGGTCTCACTAGTACCCAAGTGGGTCAGCGCGGGGCTGAGGACGGGGCTGAATGGGACCCTGAGAGAGCCAGGGGTCCCCTGAGGCCCCCCTAGGGGCTTTCTGTCTGCCCCAGGGTGCTCCATGGGTCTCCCTGTGGTAGCAGGCATGGAGAGTCAGAGCTGCCTTCTTGGCAGTAGGCTTTAAGTGGGTGACTGGCCACAGGCTGAGAAAAGGGTACAGCCTCTAGGTGGGATTCCCAAAGCTGCCTTCAGGCTGGACTGAGCTGCTCTCCCACAGGATTTCTGTGCAGCTGGATTTTCTCTGTTGCGTACATGCCTGGCATCTGTCTCCCTTTGTTCCTGAGTGGTGGGCCCCGCATGGGGCTCTGAGCAGGCTGAATCTGGATTCTGGCAATAAAAGTACTCCGAATGCTGTAAGGTGCCCTGGCCTATGCTCTGCTCTGAGCATGAGGGGAGGGAGGTGATGGAGGTACAAGGTGACTGGAGAGGCAGGAAATTAGGGGCTGGGCCTTTACAGGAGCCTTGACAGGTTCTGTCAGCATCAAAGCATGGTTCCTATGCCCTTCTGTGGACTTCATCCTCCTGCCCTCTCTCCTGGAATCCAGTTCCCCTCCTGGGACTAAGAACCAGAACCTGAAACATTCCTGTGGAAATGGGGTCCTGTCCTCCCCCTGCTTCTGCCTGGTCAGCAGGCCCCACATGCCACCTAGGAGCTGGGAGCAAGGACAGTCCTGCAGTCACCTGACTAGACCCTCCTTCCCAGCCTCTGTCTTCCCTCAGCTTGCAAGTGTCAGCATCCTTTGAACCTAGAGTTCTTTTTAGGATGCCACCCTTCTTTGCATCTTCAGCTCGTCAGCCTGCCATTTGTACCCCTGGGGAGGTACAGACGAGAGAGATCAAGGGAGAAAAAGAGACTACTGGGCTGAGACTAGTATGGACAAAGACTGAAATAGAGACAGAGACAGGGAAACATGGATAGGGGATAGGGTCCTGGCCTGAATTTTGTAGTCCAGAGCCCAGTCAGTACCCAGTTCTGTCTTCACTCAGCCCCACCAGCTGGGGCGCCAGGCTTTGATACACCAGAGGCCACAAGAGGGCGCTCTGAACCCTCTCACCGAACCACCTGTTAGCTAACCCTGGAAGGACAGGGTGACCCAGAGTGGGGGTAAAAATGCCTGGGGTAAAAATACTCGGGTCCAGCTGCAGCTCTGGCCTCAGTAAAAGGATGACAACATGAAAGGGAGCTTCACCGCAGGCCCTGCCCAACCTCACTCCCTGCTTGGCCCTGACACCCCCCTACTCATGGCACCCCACTCACCCCTGACCCATTTTAGCTTCACTGTCACCCTCAGTTTCATAGCTGCAGAGAGAGAGGGCATGAAATCAGAGAAGGCTTTAGGACTAGCACACTAGGGTTCAAAACTCTACTAGCTACAGCCAAGTTGTCTGGGGAGCCTTCTGACCCTCAGTTTCCTCATCCAAAGAATGGGGACATCTGGGTGCACTGGCTCACGCTTGTAGTTCCACCTACTCAGGAGGCTAAGGCAGGAGGATTGCTTGAGCCCAGGAGTTTGAGACCAGCCTGGGCAAGACTTTAAAGGTGAAATAGGCCGGGCGCCGTGGTTCGCGCCTGTAATCCCAGCACTTTGGGAGGCCAAGGGGGGGGGTGTGGATCACCTCAGGTCAGGAGTTCAAGACCAGCCTGGCCAACATGGTGAAACCCCATATCTACTAAAAATACAAATATAGCCCGGGTGGTGGCAACATGCCTCTGTGTCCTAGCTACCACTGGAGACAGAGGGCACGGAGAAATCGGCTGGAACCTGGAGGCTGGAGGCTGCAGTGAGGTCCAAGGATGGTGCCACCGTAACTCCAGCCTGGCAAGATAGAGCGAGCTAGATCTCTCAAAAAAAAAAACAAAAAAAAAGGCCCGCCCGCGGTGGCTCACGCCTTGTTAACCCAATACTGTTGGAGGCCTGAGGCAGATGGATCACGAGGCGGGAGATCGAGAACCATCCCTGCTAACACACCGTGAAACTCCGTCCTCTAAAATACAAAAAATTAGTCCTGGCGATGGTAGGCGGGCACCTGTAGTCCCAGCTATTCGGGAGGCCTGAGGCAGGAAGAAAGGTGAAACCCGGGGGGCGGAGCTCTGCCATGAGCTAGAATGCGCCACTGTGCTCAGCCTGGGCGGCAATCGAGCTCCGTCTCAAAAAAAAAAAAAAGATGAAAATAAAATAAATCTGTAGTCCCAAGTAGGAAGCTGAGGCCAGGAAGATCGCTTGAAACTAGGAGTCTGAGGCTGGCAGTGAGCTATGTCACAACTGTGAATAGCCATTGCACTCCAGCCTGGGTAACAGATCTCTGAAAGCAAAAGAAAAGAATGGTTACAAATAAATGTATCTTGCAGGGTGGTCCTGAGGAACACTGATGGTGTTAGAGAACATCTGATTCAGGGTGTGATGTACATGGGGCTTTTAGCTGATGGGCTAGGTAACTGGGTGTGAGACTGCAAAGCCAGAGGGAGCCAGCATATGTTTTTTTTGTTTCCTTTCTTTTTTTTTATTTTGAGATGGAGTTTCGCTCTTTATCGCCCAGGCTGGAGTGCGATGGCGCGATCTCGGCTTACTGCAACCTCTGCCTCCCAGGTTAAAGCGATTCTCCTGCCTCAGTCTCCCAAGTAGCTGCAATTACAGGCATGTGCCACCACAATAGGCTAATTTTGTATTTTTAGTAGAGACGGGGTTTCTCCATGTTGGTCAGGCTGGTCTCGAATTCCCAACCTCAGGTGATCCGCCTGACTCAGCCTCCCAAAGTTCTGGGATTACAGGTGTGAGCCACCAGGCCCAGCTGAGCCGGCATACCTTATATGAAGCTGTGGCAGGGACAAGTGGCTGGGTGCCGACACAAGTGTCCAGAGTTGTCCTTCTGCCCAGCCAGGGAGGCCGGAGGAACTGATCTGGGAGGCAAAGGGTGCAACTCGATTGATCCAAATATATATGTCCACTCACTGACACGGGAGGTGTTCCAAGCAGAGGGCAGGAGGGCAGCACCAGCGAGGGCTCCTCAAGCATTGTCATCCAGGCCTGCAGAGAGAATGGAAGGGTTTTTAGGCAGGGGAGATACAAAGTCATCGCAATCTGTAATTTAGGAGCATCCCCTACTCTGTGGAGATGGGTTAAGGGGAGTAGGAAAGGGATTGGGAAGCCACTGTGGCTGGGGAGAAGAAAGCAGGGTGTAGGCTGTGGGAGGAGTGGGGAGGAAGGGTCTGAAGTGCTGCCCATCTCTGGCTGGGTCCCTGTCACTGGGTGGCAGGGAGCAGGGTCTTGGGTATGGTCTGGAACCAGAGGACATGCACTTGTGGTCATAAGGCTGGGGGAAAAGACCCCAGGGCCCTGGACCAAGTCAGTGCTTGAGGTGTTGACAGGAAATTTCGGTGGAGGGCTCAGGGGCTCATGAAGTCAGGAGGCTCTAGACAAGAGAGCCCCAGAGACACCAGAGGAAAAGGAACTCGAGAGGAAGATGGAGGAGCAAACAGAGGGAGGGGAAGTGGGCAGGAGGTGCAGCTCCCCCAAGAGGGGTGGCAGCTCTCTTGGGAAGATGAGGACAGAGCCCCAGGGAGGTCTGGGGTTGGCCAAGGGAGCCTGCAGTTTCTTTGTGGGTGCGGGGGCCTCAAGGGATGGGAATCTGAGCTGTGCGTGTGTTTGGACAAGTCCCCAGAGTGTGTGTCTTCTCGGGGTTCCTAGACGCAGGGTGGCAGCGGCCCGGCGGTGGCGGAGGCCGTTTGGATCCCTGTGTGAGCTGTAGGGGGCGCCCTGGGCGCCGGGCCCAGGTCAAGGGCGAGATAGGAACGGGGTGCGGAGGCCGATGAGAGCTCCCCGCGGGAATGTCCCGGTGTGGACGCCCTCGGAGGCCCCATCTAACTCCAGGGGGGCGAGGGTGGCCGGGCCCAGGTCACGGGCTGCGCCGGCCCTGGCGAGGCCACTGGGGGCTGTCGGGCGTCCACGCTCACGGTCTGGGCCAGAGGACCCCGTACCGGACAGGCCGTGGTGGCCACGGGGGCCTGGAAGCGCCGCCGCCAGCTGGCCCCGCACGGAACTGTGTCCCGACGCGGCGCGCGCTATCGCGATCCGGTGGCGGGTGACGTGGCGGGGCGGGGCCTAAGCGGCCGCGGCGACGGCGGCGCGACCGAGCATCCTGGCGGCGCCGGGCCACTGGGAGGTAACGGGCCGGGCCATGGGCGGGCGCGCGGGGAGCGGGGCCGGGGCCGGGCCGCGTTCTGTGGGAGCGGAACCCTCTGGGTCTTGGCCACCGCCGTCGGGAGCGGGATGCGGCCCGGAAACGGCGCGGGGCTGGCCGGTCGGGGCCGCGCGAGAGGCGCTGCGGCTGAGGGGTGGCTACACGAGGAGCGAGGGACCTCGAGCGTGAGGGCCGAGTGTGGGAGAAATGCTGTATGGGTGCGAGCCCCGGAGGCTGATGGTGACCGCGAGGGAGCCAGTCTTGGAGTGTGCTGGCGACGCGGCGAGTGTGAGGGAGACCGGGGGTGTGTGTGGAGAGGGAAACCCCAGGTACCAGGGTGACCGGGACTCTGTGTGTGCGGGCCGCGCTGCGAGCGTGAGACTGTGCGACGGTGACCCAGAGTGGGACTGTGACTGCGCTTCCGACTGCAGGACAGAGAACCTGTGCTGTGTGGTGGCCGCGGTGGGGCGGAGAAAGATGCGGGCTCAGGACTGCAGGAGCCAGGCTTCCTGGGGCTGTCGCAAGAATGACGATTATCATTTTAAAATCAGTCCATTTACTTTAGAGAATGCCGCAAGGTTTTGCGGCGTGTTGGGGCCTGGAGCGTTGGGCTGCTGGCGCTGGGGAACCCACGTGGCCCCGGTGATTATGGCTCTTTTGAGCGTCCCCATAGCCTGTCATCTTGTGTGACTATCTCTCGTCCTGAATGTGGGGAGATAGACGTGAAACATTCTGAAAATTCTTTGCTGGGCTCTAAGCAAACATGTTGTGTAATGGTCAGTATAAATAGGAATCAGGGTGTCGGCGAACACGTTTTTGAGTACCTCTTGTATGCCCTGGGCTTGGTGACACAGTTAAAAAGAATTCAGTCTCTGCCCTTGATGGGGGAAAAAGCCAGGGCCAGCTCAGCTCGCAGGGCGGCAGTTCAGTGCCCAGCCATCGAGAGCTTATCTCTCAGAGCTGCTCCCAGATTTCAGATCTGGGAGGAGCAGACTTGAAAGGCTGTGACTGCTTCCTGATATCAGTTCCAACTCTTTTTGGTGGCGGTGAGGCCCTTTGGGGACCTGCCCAGGCCACCTGCATTACTCGGGTCCCGTGTGTGCTGTGCAGATGGCTTTTGCTTCCCAACTTTGATCTCAGATCGTCATTCAAGTCATTATACTGGAGTTTATTTTCCT